ATGACGATCCTTGCACAAAGCGAGCTGCTAATATTGTAGTATACCGAGGCAGAGTCTGCTCAACAGGGAATCAGAACTGCTTTGATTCAACAGTAGATATTGAGAATCCTTGAGATTCATCGTGGACTATGCCAGGCAATTACGGATCAACGAATAAGCACAGTTAGGAAGAAGCCTTGGGTTTGAACAGAATAGGGGACGACTTACTGTATGAATGTTTAGAGAGTGAGTAAGGGGGGTATGCTTCATAGCAAGAGAATCAAACACAACATTAGACTTCATACTTCAAGTAATATTCTAATTCAGATATGTTGCCCCTTTACCCCTCTACCCCTGAATATATTCGCCTAATCCTGCTGATATGGCAGAATTACCCGGTTGAAGCTAAAAGCAGATGGCGGTGACCGTGGGATCACCTCCCTCTAAGCTTCCCATGCTCTTGGTCTTTTCTTCTTTGCCTCCGCTACGACTAACCACACACTCTCTACTTTCATATCACAATGGAATCTACTGATGCAAAGCGGCTAGAACCGACGTCATTCAACTTCTTCCCCATGCTCCCAACCGAACTCCGCCTCAAGATCTACGCCCTCCACCTCTCCTCAACCCCGCCTCTCCTCCTCCCCCTCCACCTCTGCAAATCTGACCTCGACTACCTCCGCCTAAAGCGTCCTGCTTGCCAAAACTACCCCCACTTCTTCTCCCGCTCTCTCCCTGCTCCTCCGCTTCTCCACGTCTGCCACGAATCCCGCGAGGTCGCATTGAGCTGGTACTCGGTAGGATTCGATGTAGGCAGGTTAATGAGTATGGGGCGGGAAGAAACAGATGTTGACACATACACAACGTGCAGTCATGAGGTACAGATGGATGACGAGGGGAAGGCGTTATACTGGGACCGCACAAAAGATGTGCCCTTCCTTACTGACCTTAAGACTTGGCTTCCCGAAAATCAAACAGCTTATATCTGGGGTGGCAAAACCGGTGTGCGATTTGGGAGGATGAAGACTGTTGCGATGACTGCTGAAGCTTTGTATGGGATAGGGGTGGGGTGGTATATTGGGTGGGAGAGCATTGATACGTTGGTGATATTGGATGAGATTAAGGATGCTGACGAGGCGAGGGCAGCGACGGAGAGAAACCGGTTGAGGGGGCATCCAGCGGAGAGGGCGGTTGAGGCAATGTTGAGGAATATGGGGTTGAGGTGTAGGAAGAGGGTATTGGCTAGTGGGGCGAAGATAAGTAATCTGGCAGGTAGCGTGGATGTTAAGTTTGTTTATGGGGAAGTGGGGGATCTTGTGGAGTGGCTTAAGGTGAGTTATTTTGAGGGACGTGATTTATAGGTGTTGTATTTTCTGCTGTGAATTCAACTTTTGGAAGTTTAGGTAAGGGGTGCTGCTAGTACGATTTATGATTAGAGTTTAAATGGTTGTTCCCACGACTGGAAATGGTTTATACCAATGCACTTCCTAAGCAATTTGTTTCTCACCAAGGTAGCTGCCACATCTACTATTCAACTACTGTTCCTGCTGTCTACTCCCTACACCGAGAGCACCATTAATACAATACTTCACCTCACTTCTTGCCCCTAAGTGCCTGCTACCCTTCACGTACCCTTCGCGCATCCAAAACCGCCCAACCGCCCAACCTCCTTTCCCTACCGCCTTACCCAGTCCCGAAAAGGTTCGCCTCAGTTCCCTCCTCCCTTCCTCACTCTTCTCTTACAATCGCCATCATCGTCGTTCTCAGCCTCCCATGCATTCCTACTCCCCAAGTCTTACTACTATCACATCTCTAACGTGTTTTTTTTACCATAACCCAAATCTAGATCCTTTCTAGAGACGCCACCCTGGGTTTCTAAGGTCACTCCTCAACAATGGTTCTAACTAAGTGGCAAAGTTGCTTGTCAACGAAAATTTGGTTGTGGTGGGAGCGAGTCGGCTAGAGGTACAGTGGGGTGCAAAAAGTTTGAACGCGCCCCCTGCTAGCGCTTATTTTACAGGCTCTCTAAAGTGCGTAGTCCAAGTACTACTACCCTGAAAATACGTATAAGTAGTCATGCTAGAATGTTGGCAGGGCAACGGCGTTCAAACTTTCTGCACCCCACTGTACCGTGTACACATATCTTTTAGTGGAGTCTTTGGGCCAAGTTTCTAAGAGATTAGTGTGGAGGGTGCTGATACCGAGTTTCTTTTTGATTTGAAGACTGGGGACTCAAGTATTACTTAAAGGGTGGTATTGTAAATTATGAGAGATGGAGTTATGTGAATATGCTCATAATTTCCTCAACCACCCATATGATTCAAAGCAAATTTCTCCTTTAACTAATCACCAAGATCAAATATCTCATTCAAGGCCTAAATATCAAATCTTGATTCATTCAGTGGCTTGAACACCAAATCGCTTACGGGGAAAATACTTCTCACACAAGGACGTCAAAATTGAACTCCTGGTGGTTCTCTTTTTATTCATACACCCTCCCACCAACCCCCCCCCCTCCCTCGCTCCCATCCTCAGATCTCCTCTTCCAACTCATCTTCTCATTGCCTGTAAACTCTCAGCACCGACCAGGCCCTGCTCCAGCCTTTCACCTTCCACCTTTCCCTACGAGCATGAGCAAACATCCCAAATATTCGACCTTTAAACACTATCATAGCCACAACCCATTAATAATATTCATTGCAGCTCGTCAAAACCCGTATAATACTATAAAGTGAGAAGCAACTAGATAAAGAGAGTGGTAGGAGAATGATGTAAGATGGCACGTTGTCCTGCATTAAAGTGTTTTTTTTTCCTTCTATTTTTGTTGGATGAGGGAGGTTGTGTGAGATGAGGATCTGGAGGAGTGTTTTAGAATAAGAAATGCCTCGACTGAAATGAGGAAGAGCAAGAACAAAATCCTTACAGCACACAATGCAAACCCATAAAGGACAAAATCTGCATTCAAAGGAGATGAGATTCAGAAGCGACAGCTATGCTATCTATGTCATATCCATGATCATTCCCATTCTTTTCCCTCGTAAAAGTAAGCACGAGTTGAGTCCCAAGCTATCCATCTAGCTTTATCATGATGTACCAGTATTCTATGCCTCTCGCACATGCAATACCTGATCAAAAACTCCTAACGCCCTAAATATCAATTCCATCAACAACAACGCCCTTAGACCAATTATACTGCATAAGTCTCGCAGCTTCATTAGCAGCCTCCTCATTAACCATGATGCTAACTAAATACAAACTCGCATCGATACCACAGGTTACTCCTCCGCTGGTGATAACACGGAGCCCACCAAGACGCAGAGAAGCACGACGTGCGTTGGATTCGCGGCGGGAGTTGGATTCCTTCCAGGCGTTGCTGCCTTTGCGCTTCATAGCTGGAGGCTTGGAGTCAGACTTGCGGCGGACGTATGGGTTTTGTGCTTCATCCTCCAAGTCAAAGCGGAGATTATTGACAACATATCTCTCCTCTACGACGTCACAGCGCTCAGCTAAATCTCTTTGCGAGATCTCGCTGCATAATTTCTCGAACTTGGCATAGTAGTCTGGATGTGTAGTTGCGGACAAGCCACAGAGGATGCCTTGTTGTGCAAGGAAGAGGGAACCGGTGCAGATGGAGAGGAGGGTGCGTTCTTTCTTAGGGTCTTTCTTTTGGACATCGGAGTAGGCTTTGATGAGGCCTAGGGGTTCGGCTTTAGATTTGAGGATTTCGTCAACACCACCGCCAGGGACGATCATGACGTCGAATTCAGAGAGACGGGCATAGGCTTCTTTGTAGTCCATGTGGGCACGGAAGCCAGCGCCTTGAGAGGTGGTGGTAAATTCGGCGGAGGAGACGAAGGTGAAGGAGAAAGCTTTGGTGGCTATTTGAAAGGGAGGGGTCAGCGGGTGCGGGGTAAGGGTCCTTGTGAGAGATTGAGAGAGCTGTAGCATCCAGGGCAGCAATCGAGCAACTTACCATCATCATTGATGTTATGTTTGGCATAGTTCAGGACCTCGAGAGGGCCCACGAAGTCCATCGAGTCCATGCCAGGATGCATGGTGAATAACACCTTGATGACAGGAATTGCTTCTGTTGTTGCCATGGTTGCGACTGAAAGGTTGACAGCTTGAAGACTGAGAGTAGTTATTGATAGAGAAGAAGGCTTTGGTGGCTTGTTGGACAATTGCTTTGTGGGATGGAGGGTCTGAAGATCTCGATAAAATTGATGAACTGGAGAACGAAAGGAAATGTGTGCGAAAGGAAAGCGCGTCGTACAAGATGGTCAGATTCACCTCACGTGAGTATTTGCTTTGTCCCTGGAATGCGGGGTAAAGTGGTGCGGGAAATAACTGGGGTTGGCGTGTTTTAAGTGGAGCGAAGGTAACGCTCAGAGGTCAGGGCGGGACTCGCCGTTCCCCATCACGAGACTCATGATGGTTTGAAGTTGTGCAGGTGATGATGTGGATAGATTTTGGTGTTGATGAACATGAAAGGGGATGATGGGCTTTTGAGATTATGCAGTTTTCTCTATGGGTTTCATCCACCTTCGTCATTGTGGTTCATTCGGTACCGTAAGCAAACGAGATTAGATAAGATCAAGATCGTATTTCAAACAGAAGTCTCAGCAATTGTGCAAGAAGGGTTTAATGCAAGGAACTGCTCTGATTCAGAAGCCTCTAACGTCGGTGACGTGACTCGCTCTAAAGAGTGGATCTCAGTAGTTGTGACCTGACTTCACGTCTTCAAGTCATGCTCCCTTTTGTGCATATTCGCCGTTATAAAGACGGACGGAAGCTGAGGCCGTGGCTGTCTTATTAGCAGACGAGAACGCTCTCTATATCAGTCGATAAGAGCCTCAAACGCGAAAAGCTCCCTAGAATTAGGTACGGGAATATCCCAGAGGGATGGCGGAGGAAAGTTAACGCTATTCCGGCTAGGCTCCACTGAAAATCATTTCGTGTACCACAGCGAAGCCCTTTATAGACCCATATAAGCGCACCAACTTCAACAAACACATCAAACAGGCCTGCTGGCCCAATGGCAAGGCGCTTGACTACGATACGGTAGATTAATCAAGAGATTGCAGGTTCGATCCCTGCGTAGGTCACTGATTTTATTTTTTTCACCCCCAGACATGTCTAGAATTTGTTTTCCTGCTAAACTTATATTTTATGAATTTATGCAAATTTTGAACTTTTGGGCTTTTTTGTGCATCACCCCCTTCTCCTACTCGCTTAGTGTACAGCCTTAGTCAGCCTTCGGGAACATCAAAATCTCGGGAATCACGTCCCCGACACTTTTTTCCAACAATCAACCAACATCATCACCAACTTCAATCCGCGCGGTGTAACATCTTACCGGTTTTACGATGCTACGAAACAAAGATGCGGAAGAGGATTATTATGTTCAAGGTGTTTCATTGCATCGGTACGAAACTAGTTACTCTGTAGAAATTGCCTCGGTAGAGCATCAAGGCTGTCTCACTCCGGCGCGAGTCGCCACTGAATAATCGCATTCGCATTGCATTCCCTAGCAAGCATGCACAGTGCAATTGCCAAGATGGTTGATCTCATCCTGTCACGTATATGTGACTTGTCGGAGAAGTTTCTCTTGTCGTTTCTTCTGCCCAAAGTGCCGAGGAAATGTCAATGATCACTCTGCAGCGAACTCTTAACTCCACTGTTACTCCAGAAAATCATCAAGGGAAAACAAACTGCCCATTAGCTGTTCCCCGAAAGTTAAATACTCCACTTGCTCATCCTATTCCGGTCCGAAGTCTCAAGTACACAAGTTTGTTGTCAAATTTTCAAAGCCGAGTCAAATCCTTGTTTACTCCTACGAATAGGATATTTTTCTATCCTCATCCGGCAATTGACGGGAGCGACGGGTGCTTTATTTACCTTGTCAGCTCCATGGCGACACTTGAGGCCGCCTGAGGGACATGGGAAAACTCCTGTCAGCTCGCTTCCCAGTGCCGGCACGCCATTTACTTTATGTAGATGCGGGTGGCAGTCTTGGCTAGCATACACATACGCAATACCTGCGTATCATCTGCGGTCGAAGGAAGTTCTGTCCGTAGGGCGTCTACTGCGATATTCATCACCAGCTGAGCCACGTGCAACACACCAAGCCATCATACAAGTGACAGCATTAGTTCAGACGAAACGGCTCGGGTCGAACGCAGAGCCTCCGTAATCTATTTGCGCACTGGAATAGTTTCCATTACATCTCACTCCTAAACTCGCCGGTAACTCCGGCCAGAACAAACACATTTCGATCTCTCTACTTTTTGCCATTGTTTACTCTCCAGATGTCGGTGGATGTTCTCGGCCTCGAGCGAAGAACCGAGATCCGCTCGCACACTTTTGTCCATTAAACTTCCATAACAGTGCATCTACCAGATCCGATCCAGGATACTGCCTCCATTACCCAGAAGAATGCCTGTCATATTTCCCACGATATATGCGAGTATCGCAGTAGCAAGCGCTTCTGAAATGCAGTGAGGTTCCTGTGCTACACCGAAACAGGGAAACGCCCCACAATATTGTCGATCGCTTCCCATCTTCGCTGCACTCAGAACCATTCTGCATGGGAAAGCAACCGACGATTATCTCATCTTATCTCACATCGCTATGGCACTTGACGTTACCTCGCCCGGCACCAGGGTTTACATCCACTTGTTATACTCGCACAACATGAATCCTTGTTGACTTTTACTCACGGGAGTATTATCCCCCCTGGGCCCGCGTTTCATAGTGCTACAGAGTTCTGCCATCCATGACGACGCAAAGCTGCAGAATATTCCACGCGGAACATTTACCTTTCTCACACAATTCAAATCATCATATGGTGATAAGCAAGTTCCTGTGGTGATAAGCGGGCCGAAAAGAATCAGTGACTTGGCAAGCGAATATGGCAGTTGATGGAGTTGATTTTACGTTGATCTCTAATCAGTCGATGTTAGGTATTCTATGGTGATATAATTAGTATACGCAGTGACGAGTCACTGCGGTGAATCCTCTCGTACCTTTTGCTGAATAAGTTAAGTTGACTTTGTTCGAGAAGTTCTGGCAGGTGGCTTATTCTATAAGCTTATCAACCTTGAGATTCTGTTGACTTTTATATACTTATTAGGCTGCTCCGCTACTTGATCTAATCGTATACTCCCTTTGCGTTCCATCCTTCTTCACTCAAAGTATTCTCTCACATATTTTCAAAATGGGCAAACCATATACTTCATCTCGGCTAGAGGCGAGGAGGCTTAACATCAAAAACTCGCAAACGTTCGCTATCGTACACGAGCCGATAGTAGAACACTACAGATTGAATACTACATTTACCGGCGTACATCATAATATCTCGACAGCGGAACAGGAGATATGGCAGTTTAGAGGTATCAAATATGCGAATATTCCCGGTCGCTTCCGACAGTCAACACTGAACTCTATATTTCCTTCAGTTGGCGTTGACGCAACAAGATATGGGTAAGTCTTTGCTTCTCGTTACACTATTTTGCCGTCGTCACACAACAACATACCGACTTTTATACCCACTACGAAAATTATCTAGCCCGACTTTTCAACTTATGTGCCTTCTCAAACTAATACATCACAGACCAAAATGCCCCCAACCCTCTCTTCCCACTCGTCTTGAAGATCCCCTGATCGGTGTCACATCAGCAAAAGCTCAGCACGCACCCGATACCTTCTCCGAATTTGAATGCTTGAATCTCAATATTACGACGCCCGCAGGACAGCGCTTTGGCTCCGATTTGCCCGTGATGGTCTACATTCACGGCGGAGGCGGTTACTCGGGGGCGAACTCAGACTGGTGGTGCGATGGCGGATCTCTCGTCAAGAGGAGTCTAGATGAGGGGAAGGGGGTTATACACGTTGCGTTGAAGTACGAAAATCTCCCTAAACGCTCTATCGAGGAAGCTAACCAGATGTGCCAGCTATCGGTTATCTGTTTTTGGATTTCTAGGAAGTGAAGAACTTAAACAGCAAAATGGCAAGCTCAATGGAGGGAATTTTGGCCTTCGTGACATCGTTCGTCCTCCCTTCACTCTTCCCTTCCCCGCTTCATAACTTGCTAACAGTGTCCCGATAGCACATGGCGCTCAAGTGGCTCCACCACAACATTCCCGCCTTCGGCGGCTCCGCAACCAACATCACCCTCTACGGCTCGTCCGCCGGCTCACTCGCAGTGCAATCGCTCATCCATAGCACGTTGCCAGCGTATTTTCGAAATGCTATTTTACAGTCACAAGTTCTTGGTGCTCCCCTTTTCTCAGCACCGCAAACTCTCGAGTCCGCAACACAGGTTTGCGAATCAGTAAAAAGGGAATTACAGGTAGAAACTGTAAAAGAGCTGGAAGATATTGATACGGAGAAATTGGTGAAGGCATATCAAAGTGCAAACCCTAGAAACGGCCTAGCCGAAATCGGGACGATCGATGGAGAATTTTGGGCCGAAACTTGGAAGGATCGCCTCTCTCTCCCAGGGAATGTGATGTTGGGGACCAACGCAAACGAAAGCGCGGTCATCAAATTAATCTCTTCGTCCTCGCCAAAGCCATCAAGCCGACCGTCCACAAAGTCAATACTCGCCTCCTTATCAAGCGTCAAGACTGAACACGGCGACATCAACAACTTACTCTCCACGTACCGAATTTCCAAATCCTCGCAAGAGCCGGACCTCTCCACCCACCTCCTCGAGATGGTTGAGGACAGCATGTGGTACTCTCCCACGCACGCCCTCGCCCAGAAGCTCCGCAAAGCCGGCGTGCGAACCCACGAATACAGCTTCGCACAGGGAAAGCCCTTCGGAGGGGAGTTCGAAGGGAAGGCCGTCCACGCCCTCGAGCTCGCATACCTACACGGCAATCCCGCCTTCTTCAAACCCACCGCGAACTCAGACGAGGAGCGCGCGGTGCAGAAGGAAATGCAAAGTGCGTGGTTGGCGTTCGCTCAGAGCACTACACCGCCAGCGTGGTCAGAGGACGAGGTTAGAATCTTTGGCAACAGGACCAAGGAGGCGGAGAGCGTAAGCGTTGAGGGGAGCGGGGAGTGGAGCTCGTGGATCAACGATTCTGAATCGCGGGGGGCAGGGGATAGCAAGTCTAATGGTGTGCTCAGTGGGAGTGAATACTGGTCTAGCGAAAAGCGCCAAGGACGATGGGCTGTGTGGTCTTCCTTCAAAGACGAGGAGGTCGCATCGCTCATATCCGTCACTCTCACAGCACTGAATGGGCTTCTCGGCCAAGGACCATAAGCGTCAACGAGTTAGGTGTCTTCACTTCTAGTTTGTCAATAGGGAGAGGATCGGAACAGGCAAAATGACCATCGGGACAGATTGGGCGGTATGGGCGCGCGTCGGCATCAACGGAGGAACCAACATGAAGGAAGGGCAAACGCATGGGACGAGGCAGCGCGAGGACACACGGAGGGGGGGAAATTGCTCGCAGCGCGGCGGGGACCGGGAGTCATCTTCTCGGCATTTACATAGGGGCTGGCATCCTGCACATAGTGTTTTCGATAGATCGTAGAGAGGAGATCCGGTAGACAAAAGATTCCTACATCGTACCACTGGGGTATTTCCGTGTTTGAGCGTGAACTCTCCGCGAATGCATGCGCACTCGCACATTCCGCATTTGTATAGCAGATCGTCTCACTGTTGCAATGATCAATCAGCATTGTTTGCTTCCATTCATCCACCTGAACTTGCTTACCGAAGTCACCGCCATCCCCGTCGCGACCCCAGATCTTTTTCTCACTCAGAACACCGAATCTCTTCTTCATGTCTACAAGGGAGTGGTTTTATGTCGTCAAACGGCCGTCGGATGGTGCGTCCAATGAGGAGAGTGAGGCTGCGGCGCAGAGGGGATGCCGTGCATCAGCACGTCAAGCCCACCATATCGGGCAGCTTGATGCGAAGTCCTAATTGCGGAAAGATCGTAATGGGATGGAGGGGTAATTGTGGCTGCATAGAACATTGCGAACGTCTAGAAGGTCAGAAGTGTTTTTGGACGACAATTGTGCGATGGGATTGAGTTTGCGATGTGCGCAGACGGGAAAGCCGCAAGAACGTACGCAGAGAAGAAGCACG